CCCCGCCCACCCTGCCTCTCCCACTGTGCCCCTCCCATGCGCTCTTCCCACCAAGCCCCACCCACTACGCTCCTCCCACCAAGCCCCACCCATGCACTCCTCCCACTGCGCCCCGCCCACCATGCTCCTCCCACCAAGCCCCACCCACATGCTCTTCACACCAAGCCCCGCCCACGCACCCCTCCCACTATGCCCCGTCCACCATGCTCCTCACACCATGTCCCACCCACCACGCCCCTCTGCCAAAGCCCCTCCCACCGTGCTCCACCCACCATGTCCCACCGCTGTGCTCCGCCCACCGTGACTTGCCCATCAGCCTGTTCTGGCTGCTGCCTTGCCCTTGGGCACCACCTGAAGCCCTGACTCCACCTCAAACCTCCGGGAGTGCCGCCTGGAAATTCTGGAGATATTTCCAATCTGCGAACTTGCAAGATAGGAAACCTTTTGTTCTGGGCGTTTCCTTTCCCAGGGCCCGAGGGGCACTCACCCGTAAGGGCAGTTGGGGTGGCACAGGTGGCAGACGTGACTGGCGTCCGCGAACTTCCAGACCAGCGTGTTGTTCTCGCCCATGATCCCGGCCGGGCAGGTCTTGACGCAGTGCGGGCCATCGATGTAGTGGGCACACTGCACGCAGCTGTCGGGGCCCTGCAGTGGGAGAGAGGCCGTCACCGACGGGACGAGGGCTCTCTCCTTTGCCAAATGGAAGCAGCCTTTTACTTAAATACGTGTCTTGAAAAAAAGTCAAACAAACAGTGTAGAAATTGTCAGAGTGGAAGGCGAGTTTGTCTGTGGTTGTGCTTGAGCCCTGAGCCCTGTTCACAGCTGAGCATAAAGCCTGTCTTACTTTGCACACGTGTTCTATGTACAAAACACGAGAGACTGTGCTGTTTGGTTTATTACACGTCACTCACACTCTGAGGGCATCTCTCCTTGCCAGCACAATCCTGATGGGCCCGCATGTGCATTTACCCCCGGGCTGGTCGGGCGGACTTGCTCACACGTGGGATTTGTGGTCCAGGGAGGCTCGCGGCAGCCAGACCTGCCCAGTAAATCGACGGAAACCCACCTCCAGCCAGTCTGTGGGCAGGAGGCGGCAGGCTGAGGGCAGTGCCACTGCCCAATTGACTGAGCAACGGGCTACATTCCACTCTGGGATGCTGAGTTCTCCCTGATACTCTTCACCACATCACTACGTCGCTAGGAAACTGGATTTTAAATAGTTTTCTAGGGCTTTCTTTAAGAATTCTCCAAAAATGATACACTCCTGTTGCGTAAGAACTTGATGATGTTTGAGTAAAACTAAAGCAATGATGACCGACGTCAGAAGTGGGGGACATGGGCTGACCCCGTACCGGGCTCTGCGGGCTTCCCGCTTTGCGGGGACACGGTTAGGAGTGAGGGTGTGGGCAGGAGCGGGGGTGTGAGGACTTCAGCTCCGTCGGAGCCCCACCCCAGCCCAAAGTTGCACGGCCTCTCTCTGGGGCGTGGGTTGGGGCGCTGTCCTCAGCAGCCATGGGGACAGTGGGCCGTGGTGGGGGCGACCGCTGGGAGGCCTTTCCCCGTGGCGTGTGGGGGAACGGCACGAAGCGAGCTCCTTACGCGTCCCGTGCAGGTCACGTTCATGGGCTGGGGCAGGCACTCCGGGTGGCACTGGATGCACTCGCCGTTCTCCACAAACTCCCTGGGCTCGCTGCGGGGGGTGGGGGGAAGGACAGTGGTCAGCGCCTCCCTGGGGACCCGCAGCAGGACGCTGGCGGCTGCAGCTGTGAGCCGGTCTGTCTGAAAAGCCCAGTGACACGAACCACCTCTCTCAGCAATGCACAGCGGTTCCAGGTAAAAGCCACACATGGCCAGGGTCCAGGGCGACCCTGTCATATAATAACCAGACTCTGACCAAACCCTCCGCCATCTTCCACCAAAGCCAGCCATAACCCCCACCCAGCACCCACACCTCTCCCGGGTTCTCCTAGCGACGCCGTGTGCACGTGTCAGCGAGCGAGCCAGCGAGTGAGAGAGAAAGAGCCCCTGCGGACTCCCCGTGTGAGGGGAGCAGGAGAGGAACGCTGCAGAGACCACAGGGGACGGAGGGAGAGCCCTTCCCCCTGCCATGGTCAGGCCCAAACAGTAAGAACGGAGCCGGGGGGCGGATGGGGGAGAGTGAGGACTTTGCTGGTAATATCGTCACCACTCCTCCAAGATGCGCCATCAACGCGGAGCAAGAGGCTGTGTCCCAATCCAGAACCCGGGGCGGGGTGGGGGGGGGGGGGCGGAGAAGACTGACATCTGCCTGGTGACGCCCGACCGGCCCTCACTGGGCGGTGAGCAGGAGTGGTTACACCTGGAAACGTGTCCCGCGAGTCCCCCTTTCAGGCACTTGGCATCGGTTAAACCAGATGCCACCTTCGCTGGTCTCTGTGCTTCTGCCCGGGGCTGCCACACCCGTGGAGGGGGCCCGTCCTGCAAAGGGACCCGTGCGGCTGGGCCCCAGGCGCCGTGGAGGAAAGACCTGGCACCTCGATGTGCTTGCTTTCATTACTTTGCCTTAAAAAACTTATTTTAGCCCCGGCTGGCGTGGCTCAGTGGTTAGAGCATCAGCCTGTACACCAGACGGTCACAGGTTCGATTCCCAGTCAAGGGCCTGTGCCTGGGTTGCGGGTCCGATCCCCTCTGATCCCCGGCCCAGTTGGGTACGTGTGGGAGGCAACCAATCCAGGTGCCTGTCACGTGGATGTTTTTTCCTCTCTCTCTCCCCTCCTCTCTCCCTCCACTCTAAAAATCAATGGAAAAAATACCCTCACTCCTCAAGTGAGGATTAAAAATTTTTTATTTTATTTTATATTTTTATTGATCTTTAGAGGGAGAGGAAGGGAGAGGGAGAGAGAAAGAGAGAAACATGGATGTGAGAGCAAAACATGAATCGGCTGCCTCCTGCACGCCCTGGACTGGGGATCGAGTCCACAACCCAGGCAGGTGCCCTGACCGGGAACTGAACCAGTGACCTTTCTGTGTAAGGGACGGTGCCCGACCCACTGAGCCACACCAGCCAGGGCAATGACCTTGTCTTTTTAAAGAGAAGTGAAAACTGAAAACATGAGCAGGGGGTCTACCTGTGGCATCAAGGAGTGCGCCAATAGTTCCTACTCTTTAGCATGCAGATCACTCCGCTAGGGGAGGGCCTGTCAGCTAATGGCTCCTACAGAAATGAACCTGACCTTGTCAACCTGCTCCGGAATATTTCTGGATCCACGCTGCGGCCCCGACAGTGAAATAAGAAGGAAAACTTCCTACAGCCATCCAATTCCAGCAGCTCTTCCCTCTCACAAAATTTCCCTTTTTCTTTAAATTTTTAGAAAACTGTCCCTGCCGCCCGACCAGCGTGGCTCAGGAGTGAGTGTTGACCTATGAACTAGGAGGTCATGGTTTGATTCCCGGTCAGGGCACATGCCCGGGTTGTGGGCTCGATCCCCAGTAGGGGGTGTGCAGGAGGCAGCTGATCCATGATTCTCTCTCCTCATTGATGTTTCTCT